TGAACCGAGACACGCCGTGGGTCACGATCTGAGTTGAACCGAGACACGCCGTGGGTCACGATCTGAGATGAACCGAGACACGCCGTGGGTCACGCTCTGAGATGAACCGAGACACGCCGTGGGTCACGATCTGAGATGAACCGAGACACGCCGTGGGTCACGATCTGAGATGAACCGAGACACGCCGTGGGTCACGATCTGAGATGAACCGAGACACGCTGTGGGTTACGATCTGAGTTGAACTGGAGGGTGATGGGACCTGGAGCTCAGGGAGGGAACAGAGGGTTCCCGAAGAAAAAACAAAATCTCAGGGGCTGACTCTGCAGTACGGCCTGAGTGTGGTGGGACAGGGGTTGGCTGTCCCGTTCCTGGGTGTCCTCCAGCTCTTCCCCATCCCTGAGAGACCAATGGAAAAAGGAGACTCATGACAGGTCACCCAATTCACCCACCAAGAGCTGGGTGGCAAAGACGGAGGGGCCCCGGGACTGCGGCGGGACCCCCGTAGGCTGTCCCATGACAGCCAAGACCCAATGAAGACACGACATCACTAGGCTACCATCCTCTCTGCCCAGGAAAGGGCAGGGGCTCCCTGCCACCGTGTGGTAGATGGGTCCACAGAAAGTCTGCTCTTCACCCCTAATGCCCAGCCCTGCCTCCTTCCACCTGAAACCACAGAGCATGGAGCCCTAGAAGCTTCGGAGCTGAGGACTTCCGTGGGGCAGCTCTCTCAGATCAAGGACTGGAAGACAACACCACAGTCTTGATCTCTTGACCTTGTGATCTGCCCGCCTCGGCCTCCCAAAGTGCTGGGATTACAGGTGTGAGCCACCGCGCCCCACCATATTTAGGTATATTTTTGTCAAGAACTTGACGCAAATCCAAAGCCTCTCCAGGCCTCAGACCCTGTTCTGTGAAATGCGCAGTCATGTGTGTTGTACCAACTGTATACCCTTGTAAAGGCCAAAGGGGTGACCCATGAGCTGGCGCCATATGAGGGCTGCTTAGTAGTAGCAGGTGACCCAGTAGGTGACGGGTGGGGGAGCAGGCAGGGGGAGTGTGTCACAGGAGTGAGGGTGACTTGGCTCCAAACTCCAGCCTGGTTCTCACTCTGTCACTCACTAGGACGTGACATTGGAGAAGCCACTGCTGTGTGTCTCAGTGTCCTCAGACGTACAGCAGTGGTCATAATTCCGGCCCTCATAGGCAGTTAATGCCTGGGGAATGAAATGAGAGCCTCGGGCCCCACCAGTTCAGTCCGGGTCCTTGGGAGTCACGGGAAAAGCCAGGCCCAGCAGCCTTTCCAGCGAGTTCCAGAGGCTTCCCCTGAGGTCTTCCGCTCCTCCCCAGCACCAAGGCGTAGCAGCACCTCATTAACTGGTGATTTAATGCTTCGAATGGGCTTTGTGCTCCTCGGTGACCTCCCCCTCACCCCAGCCCCCTGCTCCCTAATCTGTCAGCAAATCTGCTTTTTGTCTGAAAGAGGAAAAACAAGTTTCCCACCAAAGTGCTTGTGGGCAGCTTGTAATGTATCTGAAGTCCGTCCAGGGGTCGATGGACCGAGGGTGAGAGGCGCTCAGAGCCACACATGCTTTACATAGTTCTGCCTCCCTCTGTGGTTTGGAAAGCTGGGACTTTCACACAGCCATCCCCTCCTGTCCTCAGCCCTGGGTCCCCCTGCCCTGCCGGTCCCCTGCACACTGTTTATCAGGCCCAGTCTGACCACAGGAAAAACATTCCCTTTGAATCTCCCCAGTCACTCCATACCCACCTCCCCTCCCCCCCTCTACCCCCCACTCCTACCCCCACCCCCGCCAAGAAGTTCCTCCCACTGGCCAAGGGCTGGTCCAAGAAGTCTCTTTTGGCCTCTTCCCCTTCCTGGGCCTCCCTCCCCGCCTTCCTGGCTGGAGGCTTCCAGGTTCACCTCTTTACCCCACTGGGTGCCTTCAGAGCACGGCTGTCCTGCCTGTGATCCCCCCCAGGAAGCCACAACAGATCTTCAGTCAAAGGCTGTGGGATGAGCTTGAGCCCACCCAGGGATGCAGAAAAAAAAAAAAAAAAGACAAACCAAAAGCTTGTCAAATGAGACGATTGTAAAGATTTAGCTCCGGAGTGTCAGTTTGGGAGGATGACCGCGCTCTGGAGACAGGCAGATGGTGCTGGCGGCCACGCAACTGTGTGTGTGTGCACTCAGTGCCCCTTAAATGGTTAGGATGATACATTTCATGTGTGTTTTGCCACAATCAAAAACAATGAGCTTCTTGTTGCTGAGGTGCTCAGGGCTATGGGAGGCAGTGTGGGAACAATGCCTCCCTGGATCCCCGGGCGCCCTGTGGGTCTCCTGTGAGACCATGCCCCACCCCCCCACCTGAAGAAGCTGTCACCTGCTTATTGACGAGTGAGTCCTACCAGCTCGGCAGGGCTCTTGGCTGTGGCTGCTGGGGAGGCTGAGCTGCAGGAGGAGGAGGTCCCTGTCCTTCAGCAGGGCCCCCTGGCGCATCCCCATGGGTGCCTGGGACTAACCCTGCCTTCAGGTCCCTTCTGGACCCTGAAGCCTTGGTAGCCCCTGTCTGGGGACAGCAGGAAGGAGTGACTTGTGCAGCCTGCCCTGAACAGCGAGCATTTGTGTCAGCAGGCTCCTGGCTTCCTTGCCTGTGGCCAGCCCACTTTGGAATCGTGATTTAAAAGGATCCTATGGAGCCCAGCTGGTGCCCACTCTGTGCACAGAGGAGTGGCAGCCCTGGAGTCAGCCTGTGGGTCTGCAGCCCCTTGCTGGGGCTGGGCGGCAGGCTGGGCAGGTCAGTGCTGGTAACCTTAGTCCTGGTCCACGCCTGCCCTGGGACCCCCAGGACTGGCCTCCCTGGGTAGGGGCAGGGGCAGGGGCAAGGGCAGGAGCAGGGGCAAAGGGTAGAGCTGGGCTGAGGGCAAGCATTCTCAGCCTGAAGAGGGCTCAGCGATGTGCAGGATTGCTCTGGCTGGGGGGCTGAGCAGGTTATCAGGACCCTCTCCACGCACCCTGCCCGGCCCCCAACACCAGGGCAGGAGGTCTCACCAGTTGGGGTGGATGGTTCTGTGGGCTGAGGTGGTCGTGCCCTGGGTTCCATTCCCGTAGAGGTAGAGTGGTCAGTTCTAGGTGCCAGGCACAGGGAGCAGGGCAGCGTGTCCCCTGCACAGGGTGCCCAGCCTCACCCTGGACCCTCGCGGTCCTGAACCGCACAGACATGCGGGCAGTAGGAATGGGCGCTCCCACCCAGGGCTGCTGGGTGGAAGTCCCTTCATGGGGCTGGTGATAGCAGAGGTGGCGTCATCTCCATACACACAGGGGACGCTCAAGTGCTGCTTTACCCTTGGGGGCACTGGGCCCAAGCCCAGGGGAGGAGCCTGTTGTGATAAAAAGGCAGATAAAAAAGTATGGGAAGAAATCTTTGGGGCAGAGGGGACTTAGAAAAAGGTTGAAGAAAGCGAGGTGTCCATAATAATCCCCAGCACAAGTCCTAGTCCTCCCTGCTACAGAGAAACTCCTAATTGGGTCAAAGCAAGCAGGGAAACAGGATCGGGTCCATCATTCTCGGAGTCTCGAAGATGAAAGGAAGCGAGTTTTCCAGAAGCCCAGCAATTCCTGGGACTGAGGCCAGAGAGGCACTTCTTCCGTGGGTCCCCTGGCCCCGTGCCCATGACTCACAAGCTGTACCCTCCAGGTTAGCCGCGTAAACCTGTTAGGGAAATTAACAGGTTTCCTAGGATTTTCGCTAACAGCATCCCATAGGATATGTGGACCGCGCTGTGCCAAAGTAAACTTTTTGTAGGGGAGGAGATTTTAACAGTCCTGGCGTTTGTATGAATATGTTCCTACTTTTAAGTGAACCTCATTGGGTTATGAAATTGGACCTGGCACATTGGTTATCAGTAGATACCAATACATTTTATTGTGCAATTACTATGACCCAAATGATGTGCTAACCCCTTTTTTACATATAACGATGTGGGTATATTATTTTCTCTCTTTTACAGTTGAAGAAATTGACCTAAAAGGATGATTGTAACTTGCCCAAATGTGTGCCATAAATGTCCAAAGAGTCCAAGTGCCCCGGGCCGTCTGACCGGAGCCCACACCTGACCCCTCTGCACTCACCCCCTGTGGCAACGGCTTCCCAATCTTTTTGACTGAGGCTCACATGTGGGTCATTAGATATCAAAGTAACACAGCTGTGTCACTGACAGTCCCGACCCTCACTATTTAGTTGCGCATCAGTATTTTCTATTTTATTTTACTTTAAAACAATGCTGGTCAGAGACCCACTCAGTTGATTTCACAACCTCCTCCTAGGTCACAATTCTCTGGTTTGAAAAACACTACACTGCCTCATAGTGTAAACAAACAAAGATTTAAGGAGCCACGGCCTACGCTGTGGATTAGCTCTTCCAATCCCAGTTCCTTCCTCCCCCCTTGCCTGCCTTCACTAAAACATCCGGAAAAGCCAGATGCTCTTTTCTCTGCCTTCCGGCCATGGGACACAGCTCTGGTCAATGAGATGAAAGCTGACAGCTGTCAGAAGGACTTAAAACGCTTTGGCTGGCCGGGCGCAGGGGCTCACGCCTGTAATCCCAGGACTTGGGGAGGCTGAGGCGGACGGATCACCTGAGGTTAGAAGTTCGAGACCAGCCTGACCAACATGGAGAAACCTGGTCTCTACCAAAAATACAAATTAGCCGGGCATGGTGGCGCACGCCTGTAATCCCAGCTACTCGGGAGGTTGAGGTAGGAGAATTGCTTGAACCTGGGAGGCAGAGGTTGCGGTGAGCTGAGATTGTACCATTGCACTCCAGCCTGGGTAACAAGAGCGAAACCACTTCTCAAAAAAAAAAAAAAGAAAAAAAGAAAAAAAGAAAAAGCTTTGGCTTTCTGGATAAAGCTCCTTTCCCCTGGCTTCCTTCCTTGAATAAAGATGTGATGCCAGGAACTCAGGCAGCCTTCTTGTAATCATGGGATAAAAGCAAAGAGAATCAGGGAAATGCTGGCTCCAAGCTCATTGAGCTGCTAAATCAGCATCACCAGCCACCCTTCTTGTTATGTAAGAGAAATGAACTTCTGTTTCACCGAGCTTAGGTTTTCTATTCTCTGCAGCTGAAAACATTTCTAACTGATAATAACCCAAAAAAACCCCAAAACCTCAAACACATAGTTCCTCCTGTATGTTAAGCCCTGTGCTTCACTGTCTGGTGACCAATGCAGACACTTGCACTTGGAAATACTAAAATAGATTTTTAAAGAACAATCTATTAACTAGTTCATCTATTTAAGGCCATAGTTTGTTTTTTCCCAGTCTGTCCAAATTAGTAATGTACAAGGGAGCAGGCAAGACAGAGTTTCTGTAACTCTTTTTTTTGAGACAGAATCTTGCTCTGTTGCCCAGGCTGGAGTGCAGTGGCACGATCTCAGCTCACTGCAATCTCCACCTCTCAGGTTCAAGAGATTCTCCTGCCTCAGCCTCCCAAGTAGCTGGAATTACAGGCACCTGCCACCATGCTCGGCTAATTTTTGTATTTTTAGTGGAGATGGGGTTTCACCAGGTTGGCCAGGCTGGTCTCAAACTCCTGACCCCAAGTGATCAGCCTGCCTCCGCTTTCCCGAAGTGCTAGGATTACAGGCATGAGCCACCATGCCCAGCCTATTTGTTTCTACCATGGGGCAAACCCAAATTCTTTGGAAGAGAGTGTTGTGAGCTGTGGCGATGGAAAACAGCTGCACGGGAATGCCACACTCACTGTGGGGCCTGTAGGAAGAAACGTGTGAAAGGTTCCCAGAAGAGAAGGCAACATGATTCCCGCCGGAATCTGCAGGGCTGTGGTGGTTTCGATTAGAGAGCGAAGGGGCGGTACCTGGCTGCTGGAGTGACAAGCCTCTGTGTTAATTTCCAAGTCTTCAGTCGTCCCTGTCTTCAGTTATGTTTGATGCTCTCCTGTCAGGTGAGTAGGGCAGGTCTTGTTGTTCCTGGTTAATGGAAAAGGAATGGAGGCCCTAAGAGGTGGAGGGCTTTGCCTTTGTTCACATACTAGGTCTCTGTGGAGCAGTGCAGTCCTCTTCCCAGAGCTCATGCTGGCCTTGTTACCCCGAATCCCTGCCTTTGTTCTGACGTGCCTCACCTTCAATGCCCTGCCACTTGTGGGCTGGGCCAATCATACGCACTCCTGGAAATCTGAATCTTAGAGACGCAAAGGAACCCAAGGTGGTTGGAGGCTGGAGCCAAGTCTGTTTCTGTTACCTGCATACCAAAAACCCTAACTGACAGAAAATTCTACAGGGCAGAAGGTTGAAGGCCACAGGCAAGCAGAAAAATGGTAGGTTATTTGGAATTGGTTATTGGGATCTAGATGGGCAGAGAGTAAACTCCCATTTACATTCTTGTGTGAACGGTATTATGGGTTGACACCATAATGTATATATCGAAGTACTAACCCCCAGCACCTCAGAATGGGACTGTCTTGCAATGCACTTAGTTCAGTTAGGAGGAGGTCTTAGTCTGCTCAAACTATCCTTACAAAATGCCAGAGACTGGATGGCTTAAAGACAGAAATGCATTTCCTCACAGCGCTGAAGACCGGGAAGTCCAAGATCAGGGTGCTGGCCAGCCTGGTTCCTAGTGAGGGGCCCCCTTCCTAACTTGCAGGTACTTGCTCACTGTGTCCTCGCATGGCAGAAAGAGCACAAGATCTCTCTCTGCTTCTTCTTATGAGATTAGGTCTCCACCCTTATGATCTCATTTAAGTTTAATTAGCTGCAAAAAGCCCTGTGTTCAAATACAGTCATGTTGGGGTTTGAGCTTGGACACATCAATTTTGGGGGTGCACAATCCAGTCCACAGCAAGATCCTACTAGAATAGGGGGTCCCTAATCCATCATGACTGGTGTCCTCATAGAAAGGGGAAATTTAGACACAGACACACATGCAGGGAGACCACCATGTGAAGATAAAGGCAGAGACCCAGGTGATGCCTTTGTGAGCCAGGAACCCCAAAGACGGACAGCAAACTGCCGGAAGCT